GAGTCGAGTATGTAATGAACTAAAATCATCACGCACAACATATTCGCAACAACAATTGCTGCAGACGCAGATGAAGGCGAATTGTTAATTTGAAAAAATAACGTGACAGGAAGTCTGCATGTAACGAAAGGGTATGTATTCGATCGAAATAAATCGAATGAAGAATAAAAACGTGAACCGATCAACACAGATTTCAAGGACGAATAAATAAAAAAGGTGATCAAAATCAGTAGAAAAGTTGTGTTCAGGATGAAAATTTCAAATTGCGGTATCTCGAAATTAGGATCAGTCAAGATTTTGATTTCCGCAATTTTAAGTCCACACGTACCATAGACTCACCCTCTGCAAACCGTTTTTGGGTACACTTTTGTCGCATTTTTTCCCTTCAAGACCACTGTGGTCCATTAGTGACGAAAAGTCTTGATACTGAAACTGATACTGACTTTTCCGGAGCGGCGTTCATTTGTTTTTCTCTTATTTATAATTAAATTTTCATTCATTCCAGACATTCACAAAGTATGAACTTGTGCCGGGAACTAATGACACCTATAGAAAAATTGTAGATTCAAGGTAAGATACTTCAGTATACCCTCGCAATACGGATCCTAAAATAAAGTGAGGTGTAGAGATTTCGCAAAATTTTACACCCTCAAAGGGAAAAAGTCTATCTACAAAGGGAATTTATTGCTGTTTAACTTTCTGTGAGTCTATGAGAAAAATGCCTAGTTGTAAGACAGAAAACCAAAGATTTCCACATTAGTGAGGGATAAAAAGTTTCAGAGGTTGGGTGTCATCTCTCAGATGCCCAACTGGGTAACTGACCCGAGGTTTGCTGAAAACACGTGCCCCACAAGTTGTGTGGGGTCGGTTCCAGGTAAGTGCAACCTTTAGAAATAGGTCTGAAAGTACATCGTAAAAAAAATCAGACATTAAATTGAAAAAAAAAAATTGACTGTCGCCATAGTCAACACAGCCGAAGATAAGATAGGCGTATTAAGATGGGCCTCGTTTTGAGCGTTCACCGCGTTAGTAGTGTACGCTCTTTCCGGCCGTTTTGCAGCGGGTATGTTACTAATGAATCCATTGTTAAAGGCCCGCACTGCTCCAAGGGAATCGGCGCCATTTTTTGTGGCGGGAAGCAATTCCTAGTTTCTCAATTTTATTTATGTACCATTTCTACCTTTTTTCTCCTATTTTGTCCACTTTATGTAATGCCTGTAGGCTTGTCTTTGAGAAATAAATATCTTTACGTTTTACAACGTACTTTTTTTTAATGACTCTTTCAAGCATCGTTCAAATTTTCAGTCGTCGGAGATCTGAAAAAAATTTTGGGTACCAAGTACCCCTTCACAACATGACCCCCATATTTTACTCTATGATAACAAGACATTCCTTATATATGTATGTTTCCTAGGTTACGCTCCACGTCTAGCTCAACAGCGTCTTGCAGCGCTCTCTTCCGTCCGCGCAAAACAACTTTTACATTTTAACATCGGACTCCCCCCCCCCCCCCCCCCCCNCCGCTAGATCGAACTACTGTACATTATAATTACAATGCGTTGTTGATGATCATAAGAGAATTTGTGAATTTGAAGTGTAATATTTTCTTTTTCCCGTCGCCAATCGCCGACGGGACGGTATTTGACGAACTACATTAAGTATTTCCACAGTCTTATAAGCGCTAACATTCATTTTTAATAATAATAATAAAAAAAAAAAACGAATAAATTGACGAGGTGTTACGGGGAACGCTCTCCAACGTCTTAACGTTGGAACCGTCGTCTTGTTCTAACTTTCCTCCCGAATCTGCGCGACACCTCTTTGGCAGCATAAAGCGGATTTTTCCGAGTTCACGCTTCGCGCCATCGCGCCTTCAATTTTTCAGATGCAACACGGACATCCATCAAGTACGAATAGTTGTATCTTCACGCCGTTACCAACGCGCGTCCTTTCCCTTGCTCTACTTTAAAATTGTGTTTGTTTCCGTTTGTCTTATTTTTAGTAGACCAACCGGTCATACACCTGGAAGAGATGAGAGTTTCTTCAACACGGAAAAATGATTGCTTACTAAGTATTAAGAAATAATTCACTGACTGACCGTGCAGAAAGTACCATGAAAATGACATGAAAACCTCGAAATGTGAAAAGGATAATAAACACACACACAAATGTGTAACCTCGGCTAAAAAATTACTTTTTAAATTTTAAAAAATTGGATATGCACGTACGGGGTAGTATTTTTAGTTTTTAAGAGTAAATACAGAACAGCCACAAATCTTCAAAATTAAATGAGTGTCCACTTAATTTTTTTTCTTTTTACAGGGCAGGCACGGATATGATTGGTGTAGTTTTGTTTTGCATTATGTTTGGATCAATCTTGGGCACGATGGGCCCTAAGAGTCAGGTAGTCATTGACTTTTTCTCCGTCATTAACGAGACTTTGATGAAACTTCTGCGTGGTGTTATTTGGTAGGTGAACTTAGACTCGCATTTTTCCCAAGTGGAAGCCAATTGAGTTTTCCTACTTGTTATGCTGAAAAAAAAAAAAAAAAAAAAAAAAAAAAAAAAAAAAAAAAAAAAAAAAAATTGGAAAGTTGTTTTAACCTTTCTCTTACAAAACGCCAAATTCAGAAAATAAAAATAATGCTTTGACTTTCAAATCAAGCAGCAAAAGCAAGGGGGAAACGTCGTCTCTCGAAACACGGTGCACGAGATATGTGATGATTTCTAAGACTCTGAAATTTAGCAGATCGCATATTGGAAAAACAATTTGGTTTGGTGGAAAAGATCGGATGTGCTCGTGCAAGCTGCTTCAGGAATAGTTTAAAGGTAGGTTTGATTCCTTTGAGCAAAATGCGAAAAAGGGAATTCACATTAAATCAAACTGAGCTTGGCGCAAAAATACGCTGACTCATGAGCCGCGGGCATGAGACAAGCCGTTGTAGACAAGGCTCATGAGTTAAACATGGGGCTCATGAGATGACGGGGGACCGTAGCCCCCGTCTCAGTCCGATGACTGACGTCACTGACGCCGCTGGAGCTCTACAATGTCTATTCATTCGTACGGCCGTCGACTAACAAGCAAACGCCTTCCTTTCTACCCGTCCGCGGTTTCATATGGATTAAATACGTCCATATCCAATAACGTAGACACTGAAACAGACTAAAACAAAAAGTATAGCCCAAATGGAGCTCCTCCCCCGACTTCGGCTCATTAGGGATTAAGGGGGCGAGCCCCGGCTTTTGCTCCTTAGGGTTCAGGGGGCCGGCCCCCGGCTTTGGCTCCTTGGTGTTCAGGGGGCTGGACCCCGGCATTGGCTCCTTAGGGTTCAAGAGGCTGGCCCCCGGCTTTGGCTCCTTAGTGTTCAGGGGGCTGGCCCCCGGCTTCGGCTCCTTAGTGTTCAGGGGGCTGGCCCCCGGCTTTGGCTCCTTAGGGTTCAGGGGGCTGGCCCCCGGCATTGGCTCCTTAGGGTTCAGGGGGCTGGCCCCCGGCATTGGCTCCTTAGGGTTCAGGAGGCTGGCCCCCGGCTTTGGCTCCTTAGTGGCCAGGGGGCTGGCCCCCGGCTTCGCCTCCTTAGTGTTCTGGGGGCTGGCCCCCGGCTTCGGCTCCTTAGTGTTCAGGGGGCTGGCCCCCGGCTTTGGCTCCTTAGGGTTCAGGGGGCTGCCCCCCGGCTTTGGCTCCTTAGGGTTCAGGGGGCTGGCCCCCGGCATTGGCTCCTTAGGGTTCAGGAGGCTGGCCCCCGGCTTTGGCTCCTTAGTGTTCAGGGGGCTGGCCCCCGGCTTCGGCCCCTTAGTGTTCAGGGGGCTGGCCCCCGGCTTTGGCTCCTTAGGGTTCATGGGGCTGGCCCCTGGCTTTGGCTCCTTAGTGTTCAGGGGGCTGGCCCCCGGCTTCGGCCCCTTAGTGTTCAGGGGGCTGGCCCCCGGCTTTGGCTCCTTAGGGTTCATGGGGCTGGCCCCGGCTTTGGCTCCTTAGGGTTCAGGGGGCTGGCCCCCGGCTTTGGCTCCGTAGGGTTCAGGGGGCTGGCCCCCGGCTTTGGGTACTTAGTGTTCTGGGGGCTGGCCCCCGGCTTCGGCTCCTTAGTGTTCAGGGGGCTGGCCCCCGGCTTTGGCTCCTTAGGGTTCAGGGGGCTGGCCCCCGGCTTTGGCTCCGTGGGGTTCAGGGGGCTGGCCCCCTGCTTTGGCTCCTTAGTGTTCAGGGGGCTGGCCCCTGGCTTCGGCTCCTTAGTGTTCAGGGGGCTGGCCCCCGGCTTTGGCTCCGTAGGGTTCAGGGGGCTGGCCCCCTGCTTTGGCTCCTTAGGGTTCAGGTGGCTGGCCCCCGGCTTTGGCTCCTCAGGGGCCAGGTGGCCAGCTCCCGTAATTCGTACCCTGTTGCCTGAAGTCAATGATTCGCCTTCAAATGGCCGGGTATGCAAAATGACTGGCGTGACGCACGAATAGTGGTATCAGAATTTTCCATTTAGCTTATGGATTGATTTGAAGGCGCTCTTCTGTATCCATTGTGAGTTGCCTTGTGCAATGATGTTTACCGAAAAGTTCATAATTTTTTATTTTAAATCGAGCCGCATATTCGAAAAATGCCGAGGAATATTGTTTTGAAATAATGAAATTTTTTTTTTTTGTCTGTACGTATTATTTCAAAGAAGAGAGCGCAGGCGGGTGGATCAGATTGTGAATTTTAAGTCCCTTGCTTCGATCATCGTATTCTGAAGACAAACTGAAAGAGTCGCCATTTACTAGATCGCAACTTACTCAAAAGTGGTTATGAATTTAAAAAGACTCGCACGGATAAAATGAGCTTTCTTTGATTAACTGTGAATAATCAAATTTGAAGAAAAGGTACTTTGTCCACTGGTTCATTAGGAAAGCGTAAAGCATGGATGGATGGAGCATCGATGACCAACTAAATCTTATCCGACAAGGAATTTTAAGTGAAAAACCCTTTTTCAGTCTTTAAATGATCCACATCCACCAACAAGTTTAAAATACTAATTGCAAAAATGCGTATCTCCTGATGAAGTGTCGATTCTTAGTGCCAAAAACGCGAATCTTGGCATTTCTGCCGTATTTTCTAACAGTTCGAGAAATTATTGAAACTGCTGATTGAGTTTGAAAAAAAACATCTTATTCTTGCTTTCCTCAAGAATTGTTACCCTTCTACCGACAATAAAGAGGAATGCAGACAGTTTTTTTACTCTCCTGGAAAATCGCGTTTTCCGAGATTCGCACTTCTGCACTTTCACCATCGATAAAGTGCGTTAGTATTGTTTAATTAACATTTGCACAGGCAGTGATTCTGATTGTTCAGTCAGTAATTTTTTTTCTCATAAATATCTTCACAAACATTCTCAGGTATATACGTTGCAGGCAATTAGCAATCTCAGGCAAATTGCAATTCATTCGTGTTTAATCAACAAATTAAATCGTTTTAGAGTGAAAAAACGAGATTGGAAGTAGGGATTATTATGCTTTGAATTCAAAGGTACGTTAGCCCCTTCTTCTTGGATACATGGTGCCAGCTAGCACACTCGCAAGTTCGTGAAATGTCGTTAATAATCTGTGTTAGGTTCGGTTAAGCAACTAAACTAACTCCTTGGCAAAGGGGAGAGTATCGCTGGATTTAAAGGCGAAAAAAAATCTTTACTACATCGATGTTATCGTAATTACAATTTGACGAATTGACAAATACGGAGCTTGCAAATTGCCGGCGACTGCTGACTCCCTGCGACTTATACACTGATAAAGATTTCAGAGATAGTTATTTCCATCTTTAAGTTTACATGTATACTTTTCTCTCTTCTAATCAGCATGTGTGTTTCTGGTCCATCCTTCGGAATTCTCGTCTTCAAAAATTGATGATCTTCCTGGACAACGCAAATCGTCAATTAAAAAATTGGGATCATTCAATTAAACGGGACACTTGATTCACTTAACTGAATCTTTAAATTAACTGGAAACTCAAATTTACCACAAATCCTACTCAACCGAAAACCTGATCTAACCCTGCTAACCAAAACTTTACTCAACCGGTGATCTTACCCACCGGAAACTCAAATCAAGCGACCAATCGTCCGGCCGAATTTTACTTAACCGAAAGTCGTCAACCGTAAACTCTGCTCGACCGGAAACGTGCTCCAATCGAAAACTTGACCCAACTGGAAATTCGATCCAACCTGAAATCTGAACCATCCCACAATTTCAATTCACTGGAACCGTAATCAATCCGTATTTGACGTGACCGGAAATTAACCCAACTGGAAACTGTTTCCAACCGGTAACGTGTCCCTGTCGAAAATTTGACTCGACTGAAAATTTGATTCGATCGGAAATCTGACCAACCGGAAACCAGAATCAACGGGATTCACCCGAAATTTCACTTGACCGGAAATCGAAAATCTTAATTTCTACTTGACCGGATATGCGCCTCAATCGAAAACTTGACTCAACTGGAAATCGACCCGACCGGAAATGCGTTCCAACCCAAAATTTGGTTGTTCTCGGATGGAGAATAACCAATTTTGATACCAATATATCATTGATTTTCCTAAAAATCGCAATGATTCGATATTAGCGATTGAAATATCGACTCGTTAACGTCAAAAATCGATTCTACAAGAAAAAATACGTAGGTGTCGGTGTCCTACAGGCATGTTACACGGTTCGTTTTAAAAAATTTTAATTTTTCTGAAGACCACCCGCGATTTTTGTTTATAAAAGTGTCAAGGAAGGTTTTTAGATTTAGGTATTGAAAACCGCAAAATCGTAGGTGGGGCCGTTTTTTTTATTTTCGACTTTTTCTATTTTTAAGGGTAAAATGGCGGCAAAAGCCAATGTATGACCCCTAAAACCCCCAGCCATCTAGTCAAATTAAGTTAAAATTTTATGCCTGTTAGTCCTTGACATGTAAATGGGTGCCCTCAAAAGTTTCAAATCCTCCCTGAAAGAACTGCACCCCCTTATGCGGTGTTGCCAAGTTACGTACCCGATAATGACGCGACTGACGGGGCAATGTAGATTTTGAGTTGCGATCATCACCAAAACTTATGAAAACCCTTACCATTACACAATGTGAGGATACTTTTAAATCTTATTCGATAAAAGCATGCACGGTTGCCATATTTTCGTTTTTTGAAATTGCAAAAAGAGACAGCCAGCGCGGCGAAGAGAGCAGTGATGACGAGGACTTGAGATAAAAAGAAGCCCTCGGCAATTCTATTGTCAGGAGAAGGATATTTTCCACTAAGTGAAACTGAAGGGTGAACGACCTTAATACGACTTAACCTGTCACATGACAAACTTTTTAAACCGTGTAAATGAAACATCTGTAAACATCCGTGTACATCTGTCAAATAATTACTAGAGTTGGACAGAGTAAAGTGCAAAGGGATAAAATAATAGTCTGCAGTGCCTGTATGTACCTCTAAAAGAAAAAAAGTTTACTCGTCAAAGCAGAATTCTCTCGACGGACAGTGTGGCATCCATATGGATGATGCGGACAAAAATCGGTAAAAGACCCTGAACTTAAAATAATAAATATAGTTAGCCTTGCATTTATGAGAAATGAACGAAAACATTGAGAAAGAACAAACATTAATGGGGGTATATACTTTCATCTTCCGCGCCGCGCTGACTGCACTGTGTTTGGCGCAATGCGTGAAGTATGCATGCAGTCTTGTAGGCGCTATGCGTTTCACGCCGACCGCTGCTGACCGCACTGTGTTCGACGCAATGCGTGAAGTTTTCACGCAGTTTTGTAGGCGGTACTACGTATCTGTTACATGCCGACCGCCGCGCCGAGGGCTTCTTTTTATCTCAAGTCCTCGTCATCACTGCTCTCTTCGCCGCGCTGCGCTGTCTCTTTTTGCAATTTCAAAAAACGAAAATATGGCAACCGTGCATGCTTTTATCGAATAAGATTTAAAAGTATCCTCAAATTGTGTAATGGTAAGGGTTTTCATAAGTTTTGGTGATGATCGCAACTCAAAATCTACATTGCCCCGTCAGTCGCGTCATTATCGGGTACGTAACTTGGCAACACCGCATAAGGGGGTGCAGTTCTTTCAGGGAGGATTTGAAACTTTTGAGGGCACCCATTTACATGTCAAGGACTAACATACATAAAATTTTAACTTAATTTGACTAGATGGCTGGGGGTTTTAGGGGTCATACATTGGCTTTTGCCGCCATTTTACCCTGAAAAATAGAAAAAGTCGAAAATAAAAAAAACGGCCCCACTTACGATTTTGCGGTTTTCAATACCTTAATCTAGAAACCTTCCTTGACACTTTTATAAAAAAAAATCGCGGGTGGTCTTCAGAAAATTTAAATTTTTTTAAAACGAACCGTGGTTAGGTGCATTAAGTCATTTATGAATCAAAAATGAACAATTTCAATCTCAAAAAGTCGTCGATTTTCCGTAAAGAATCCTAAAACATCGATAAAACCGATCGAAATATCGACTCGTCAACATTAAAACTCGATTTTGCGTGTAAAAATACGTAGGGGTAACAATACGCGTGTATAACAAGTGTAAACAACGATAGGAACCCCGTAGACACATCAATTCAACAAGAAAATAGCGAAAAATAAGGCCGGAGTTTGACCCCTTTCCCCCCCCCCCCCCNCCCCCCCCGTAACTCGAAAACGGTTCCTATACTCATCTTGAAATTTTTTCCTGAGTTTTCTGTTATTATAAGTTACCACTTAAATCTTGGTTCAGTGGTCGAATCGAATACCGAAAAAGGGGCGACATTTTGGGAGGCTCTTTGCGTTTTATCAAAAGAAATTTGGCAACGCCTGAAGGTTCATGCTGCGTTATTCCTTAGCACGGCAGCGCGGTACAGCTCATATAATAGGACCTATTTTTGTATCGCGGCGGAACACCTTCATACACAGGATTTTGACATAATTTGAGAGATTCCGTTTAAACTCGATGGAATGAGTCAGTTGCAGTGGTCGCAGAATCATGTTTTCATGCCTAACTCTCGTAGATTAGCTGAATAAGTGATAAGATCCGTCCAAACAGTAATTTTCTACGTTTAATATTAACGAAGATATGGCCCTATGAAAAGTTGGGTTTTTGACGTCATCTACCGCGGTAGTGACACCCTGGTTTCTTCCATCTTGCTTTCATCCGAATTTCACGTTGAACAACCAGTGCAATTGTGCGTCAACCCGACGGATGAAAGCAAGGTGGAAGAAACCGAGGGTGTCACTACCGCGATGGATGCTGTCAAAAACTCGACTTTTCAAGCACGGGAAAAAATAGTCGCTTGGATCTAGAGTCCAGACTCTTAATAACATTGACAAGAGAAAATACTCTTAATTCAATCCGATTTTTCCTCGAATCGAAGAGCCGAGCCTCTTGATTTAGGAGGATTTCTTTATGATTCAAGCGAAGAGTCCAATTGAATCGAGAGTATTTTTTCTTGTCAATGTTTTTAAGAGTTTGGACTCTAGATCCAGGCGACTTTTTTTCCAGTGAGGCGCGAAATCTCGATTAATATAGAACGTAAAAAGTTGCCATTCGGACGGATCTCATTATTCTTAGCTGATCTAAAAGAATGAAGCATTAAAAGACGATTCTGTGACCAGCGCGACTGACTCATTGGTGTTTGTTGCAGGCTCACCCCGTTCAGCGTCGGGAGTATTTTGTGCGGGAGAATCGCCTCATTGCCGAATATCGGCGAAGCGATGGACCGATTGGCGTGGCTCGTTCTCACCGTCTTCTTAGCACTGTCACTCTACCATTTCTTCATCGTCCAATTGATATACTTCTTCATCGTTCGCCAGAATCCCTTCGCGTATTACGCTCAGCTGGCGCCTTCCTTGCTCACCGCTTTTGCCACCTCTTCCAAGTAAGATACCAACGAGC